AAATTTGTTTACGACTGTTCTCTCTCCTTGATGTATTTAAACCTTTTGCTTCCTTAATAAAATAAAAAACGAGCAGAAATTACGGGGCCGGTACTTATTCATTTACGCCTTTTTTAGGACGTAATTTTTTTTTATTTAAGCCCCCCCTCGGCTTTTGCCAGGGGCCGAAATATAGGCAGGTCATTTTTAGCCAAATTCAAAAGCGGTTGGGGGGCCCTCTCCAACGGTGTCCTCATCCGCATGGTGGCACTTTGTGCATTCGGGGTGTTCGATTGTTTGTGTGATGGTCCTGTGGGGTTAGGAAAAAGTCAGTTCATGACTGGCGCCGGTTCTGCCTCAGTTGATGGTGAGCTGATGTTTGACAAGTGGAATGTTGTGAGCGTCCCTTGGGAGCGAGTTAGTGAGTGCGGAGGCACGAGTAGATAATTAAACGGTCTGAGGAGGGACGAGGAATGGCGCTGCGAGGAGTTGACAGGGATCTGGTCGACGCTCAATGCTCAAGGGAAAGGAGGAAAGTTATATACAATCAGCAATCAGACAGTTACTGATTACCATCGGAATTGGAACTATTTTGATTGCTGCTGAATATGAGGACGAGGACGCTTATGGAGTGTCTCGAATGCTGTGATGTCGCGACATCCTAATTCCAACATTCAACAACAATATGACACTTCGTTACAAGCCAATGGCAACCGTTACGGTAATTTCTTCTTTTTGACAGACTTTTAAGGTTTTTTTCGATTTGAAGCCTCCTAAGTAAATTGATACTGGATACCATACTTCCGCATTACCTCCAGACCATTTAATCGGTTCTTCCCTTATTATATAGTTTGTAACATATAATAATTTCACACAACTCTTGAGTCATGTTACACTATTATCTTTATTGATGGACACAATCTGCAACCCACATCATAAGTATATTTATCAACATTGCAAAAAAACTGCAGCAATCAATCCACTCAGGTGCCGGACTCCATCAATGGAAGTTAGCGCCGCAATGGGATCTGCCAACACGTGGATCTCTCTATCTCGTCTGTTGTAGCACTTTATCTGCAATGCTGGTCCGTTCAATCTTGATGTTGTCCTTCGTTCTTGTGTCGTTGCTACCCTTCTTGCTCTCTTATGCCTGCGACATACTACAATCTACTGCTAATACGCTAAGTAGTGATTCCACAACAGACATTTTTTTGTTATTTTTAATATCCTTTTATTGATGACACAATCTGCAACCATTTCAAAAACTGCATCAATAAATCACTCAGGTGCCGTCTCCACAATGGAAGTTAGCCGCAATGGATCTGCAACAAGTGGATCTCTCTATCTCGTCTTGGTTGTACACTTTCTCTGAATGCTGGTCGTTCATATCTTGATGTTGTCCTTCGTCTTGTGTCGTTGCTACCCTTTGCTCTCTTAGCCTCGACAATACTACATATCTACTGCTAATACGCTAAGTAGTTATTCACAACATTGCATTTTTTTATTTTTTTACTATCAATCTGTGATCAACCATGCTTGCAGGTTAGTCATAACTGAAAGGCTGAATTCTTTAACTGTAAGGGCATTCTGCATTTCCCAACTTCTCTGGGTGCTCTCCAGTGATAAGAAGATGCTTCAGACCTAAAGGAGCAATCAACCAGTCATTGAGAAATAATATACTGTCCAAGAGAACAAATGGGTTAACACAGAACACGGATGAGAAGTTCTGTGAAAGGAAGGATACACTCATAGAATAGTGAAAGAAAACATTAAGACATGGGAACGTTTCAACCAAGGTCTTTATCAACGAACAAAACAATAGGCATATTTTGAAACAAAAATCAAATATCACAATATAAATAAATGTATCAACAGGACGAATGACAAAACATGGTATAGATTAAAACGAAATTAATTATTGAGCAAACAGACAGACAGACAGATAGACAGACAGCCAGACAGACAGACAGACAGACAGACAGACAGACAGACAGACAGACAGACAGACAGACAGACGGACGGACGGACGGACGGACGGACGGACGGACGGACGGACGGACGGACAGACGGACGGACGACAGACAGACAGACAGACAGACAGACAGACAGACAGACAGACAGACAGACAGACAGACAGACAGACAGACAGACAGACAGACAGACAGACAGACAGACAGACAGACAGATAGACAGATAGACAGATAGACAGATAGATAGATAGATAGATAGATAGATAGATAGATAGATAGATAGATAGATAGATAGATAGATAGATAGATAGATAGATAGATAGATAGATAGATAGATAGAACGAACAAACTTTATTTTTAAAGGGTTAAGAATTGGGCACGCAGGCCCGTCTAACATTCTGCCCTTTGAGGTCTCCCTCCATTCTTACCTCATTTCATTCACACATCAAGTAATAATAAAAGTCAGCAATAGCATCAAAAAAATCAATACAAGCACTGGAGTGTGCACATTTCTAACTACAGTAAAACGTATTAGTTGTAACAAATCTAGG